AATGCCTTGAGGAGGACTGTCCCCCTCCCTTCACACGGGCCACCAAGACCTAAAACCTCCTGGTGACATCCCCACAACCCTGTAAGTAAAGCTTTGCTCCTGAAAACTAAATGCAAAAAGAAAAAAAGAGGGATGACTTGAAGGTGACTCTCTTCTATCTTCCCTGCAGGAAGAAGATGCTTAAATGCTCCCAGGCTGGCTCCCACAACAGCATCCCATCATTTAAGAGCAGCCCGTCTCCACTCACCCGTGGCCTACCTCCACCAAGGACAGTTCATGGAGCCACACAAGTGAGAGGTTTCTGTTCTCATGCTTTAACATCAGCCTGCATCCCTTCAGCCTGGTCACCTCTTCCACATGGCTCCCGGGGCTGTGACTTGCAGGTCACTGTTTCCCAGAAGAACAGCCGTGGGGAAGTCAGGAGGGCACCATCCTGCCCTGGCTCGCTGCTGACTCACAGACACATCCCCTTTGCTGTGCCTCAGCTTCCCTTTTTGAACCAAAACTGCCCGTTGCTGGACAGTCCGGCGAGACTGGTGGCTGGAAGTGCACTGTTCCCTTCGCCTTGAAGCCTGCTCTTTTTATCCATGCTGTCACTCATGGTGGACACACAAGAGGTACCTTCTCCCTTCCTTGCAGGGAAGGCTCAGCAAAACACACGGCTGGAGGATCAGCTCCACACCTACTCACAAGCAGATCTCATGCCAGCCCCATCTCCCCGGCTCCGTGCAGACCACCAGCCTCAAAGCAATCCTGTGGGGTCCAGGAGGGAATGTCCTGCTCAGCAGGATGCCATGTCACCTGAAAGCTGTGGGCTAGCACAGCACTGGGTGTGAGCAGCCATTCCTGAGGTACGGGCATGTGGCAGACCTGCTGGTCACCATGGCCCAGGAAGCTCCCGTTCCACTTGCAACCTGCTCCGAAATACCTTGGGTGGGCAGGGGGAACAAGAAGGTGTTTGCAGAATCCTGTAACCATGGCCTGTCCAGACATATGTTCCTCTGTGGGGGAGCATGCGTGTAGGAAAACAAATGTTTCACACTTCCTATGCTACTACTACACTCCGACTGCAATGGATGCCACAGATCTCGGTCACCAGAGCTGCAGGAACCATTTAAGCCCATTGGAAGCAAGCGAGGCTCTTCATTACATCTTAACAAAGACAAGTCTTCCTCTCCCAAGATCTCATTAAACACAGCCAGTTCTCTTTCAGCCACTTCTGCTTAGGGGCCCAAAGCTTCCGAATTAAATGGCAGGCTCCAAATGCATTTTTCCAAATGTATGAGAAGATGCAGGAGCGCCTCATCCCGCTGTGGGGATGCCGCTGACGAACACCCATTGCAGCCTTTCTGAGTCACAGCAGAGGATTAGCTGGGTAGGGAGGCATCACGCAAGTCTGACGTTACAGCGGAACACGCACTGAGCAAACCCCGAGGAGGCAGCTCCTGCCCGACCGCCCCAGGAAGAAAGAGAGGAGACTAGGAAGGAACAAGAGGGAAACGCAAGAGAGGACTCGTCAGCCCACGGTTACGCAGCAAGTCGCGCTTTGGCCCAAATCCCAGCCACTCAAGGTGAACAACTTTCATTCTGAACGTTTCCATCCAACTTTCACAATAGCTTATTATTTCGCAGTGCTGCTGAGCAATGTTTGCCTTTCTCCTCTACGCCCTGGGGATCTTTCCCAGATCCAAACTTCCACCTCTGAAAATACAAGGCCTTGAAACCAGGAAGACAGTAAAGTCACTTGAAAAGGAAAAAAAAAAAAAGCCACAGCATTCAATAATGAGGTAGGTCCAGTCACCGTGAAGCAATTTTGCAGTCTCCTTGGTTGCCTCACAACACAAACGTAACCGTGCCAATGGCTGAGTGATTGCAAATCTGTTTAGAGCATTTAGCCATGTACCAGCCACACGCGTTTAGAGCTATAAGTCTTTTAGATTAAGCTTCCATATTTTATTTGAGGGCTTCAAACCTGGGTGCTTGAAGACAAGAAAAGCAAGATGCCTGAAAAATAAAGGCAAAACAGTTGGCAAAGAAATTTGTCCCCAGGCAAAAGAATCCTGAGATAAACTGAAAGTGAGATCCACCTACTGCGCACAGGGGGAAGGGGAAAAGCAAACCTGTCTCGGTGCTGCCCAGCCTCCCCACTCACATACACCTTTTAGCAGATTCTTACTAATATATTGTGGCTACAGTCATCATACCTCCTTTCCAGATCTCTGGAAAATTAATTTAAAAGGAATTTAAAATCAGCCCATTCAGTGCTCCTTACCCCAGCAGAAAGGATCAGTTGTTAGTACAGCTCCCACTAGAAAGTTAATTTGGAAAACAGCAACACTCACCTCTGCAAGGTAAAGGATGCAGAATTTCCGATCTTCTGAACCTATGAAGAAGATAAAACAGGATCAAAATTAAGCTACAACTGCATTTCTGCAAGCAGAGACACTGGCAGAGGAATTGGCTAAGAGACAGCATTTAATGAATATTTATTGTTGTCATCCTTCAGTACCAGGCTGTGATCTGGGAGTGATGTATGCTGCATCTGCAGGGGCCATGCCCTGGGCAGGCTGCATTGCACGGTGTCTTGCATGGACTCACTGTGCTGTCACGGATTCTCCTTTGGCCTTGTCCTTTTGGAAAAAGGTCTGTTTCATTCAGAGGCCATAAACAGGCTCTTCTGCCTGACCCGCCAAGGCATGTGCAGCCTGATTCCTTCCCGGGGGTTGTGGAGGCCCCACAGGTCCCACAGACCGAGGTCAGGTCTCTCCCATCTTACCTCTGCGGACACTTTGCTCCCAGGAGGACTAACCACAGCAGCTCTGGTTCCTACGTCCTTGCTCCATCCCAGCTTCTTGCCCCAAGCCCTTGGAAAGGCTGGTGGTAGCTCTGCCCAGTGCTGTCTGTCTCAGCCTCCATCAGCAGTTGGGGCTGGTACCTCTCCAAAGAGATGGAGCCAAATCCCAGGGCAATGGGAAGCAGCTGACACGGGGAAGGGGGAAGAGTTCATCCTCCTCCATCGAGCTAAGGGCAAACTCCCCAAGATCCCACCAGCATGACACTGTTCAGGAGACGTGGCCAAGGTACTTGCACTCCCACAGTTTCAGGAAAGGAGATGGTGCTGGAAGCAATGCAATAACCAACATTGTGATCCACGTCTTGTTACGTCAGGGAGCAGCCTGTTTCAGCTCTCCATCTTGCTAGATGTGTTACGCTCCAGCTACCCACCAGGATGCTCCCCAAGATCCCACCAGCATGACACTGTTCAGGAGACGTGGCCAAGGTACTTGCACTCCCACAGTTTCAGGAAAGGAGATGGTGCTGGAAGCAATGCAATAACCAACATTGTGATCCACGTCTTGTTACGTCAGGGAGCAGCCTGTTTCAGCTCTCCATCTTGCTAGATGTGTTACGCTCCAGCTACCCACCAGGATGGTCAGGCCTAGCCTTTTTTTTCCTGAGAATCTGCCCTGGCCTTTGATCCCTGCTGGTGCGACACGAGTGACCTAGCCCCAGGAAAGCCAGCTCCTGGCATACATGAGCCTCACAAGAGGGCATCAAGCTGCCACAGGACAGAGTCACCTCAAGTCTGAAGCAGGACATCCCATGCCCCGGAGCCGGTTCGCTCGTCCACACCAGCATGCCCTGCACCAGGTTTGCCCTTGGTAGCGCGCAGCACCACTGGGCTGCAGCTTTCACAACCCTTTTAATGTCATTATCTCTGCCATGAGATCAGATCCACAGCCAGGGCACAGCCGCAGGTCCTTTTCAAAGCAGTGTCAGCACGGGCTCTGCTTCATTTCAACAGCCTGAGCTGTGCTAACGATGGGAACAGGCTCTGTACAGCAGTGGAAACACCCTGTTCCCCAGAGGAAAGCAATTCTTCTGCCACAGGCAACAGCCCAAGTGTCAAGATAAGAGCTGGGACCATTGAGAGACTGGGATGCCTCCTGAGTCACTCCACAGGCAATGTGAAACCCATGAGGACCTGCAATGGCCTGGAGCCATTTGCTGGACATCTCCTTCCGACTGCCCTTTGGGAGACCACAGCCCTGCCTTCACTGCCAGCTTCACCCTTAATGCACGTTGCAGAAAATGGGCTGGGACGTCACTCTGGGGACGCTGGGACACCGTGCAACACTGGGATACTAGAGCCCAGCACCACCAGCAGTGCTGCTGCCGGCCTCTCGGATGAGGAGCCCTGTGTGTTTTCATAAGCTTCACTCTGCTCTCCTCTGGGTGATGGAGGGTCAGGGAGGCAGCCTGGCCCCAGGGCTGCCAGCCAAAGGGCTCCAGCACTGCCCCTCCAAATCTTCCTTTCAGGAGTGATGCCAGACCCCGAGGCACAAGCTGAGCACGCCTGGCTCACCTCTGCCCAAGCTCTCCTAGCACCCTCTTCCATAAATCCCAGCAGGACCACCAAGAAACATTTCCCTGTGAAGCCAAAGCCCCCCAGCCAGTGCTCTTCCCCTCGAGGGAGGGTTTGGAGGCTGGATCCGACCCTGCTGCTGGCACACCATGAGTCCACCGTCCCTTCCTGCTGCTTCTGCTTAGGTCAGCAGTACAAACTGGACACTCCACTGCTCTCCCCGCATCATCACCAAACTCTCCAGGCTGCCTTGCAAAGAAGATTGCAGAAGATCAACTTGTCCCAGCCACTTTCCTTCAGGAGCTTTAACACGTCTGTCCTGGCTGATCTGAGGAATAATTCACCCTCCGGAGGCATGCACCCTCAGCAAAGAACAGTGACGCTGGAGTGTAACGGCCCTGGGAATGATCCCACTCTCTTGGGTCTCTACTTACTCCGTCTGGCTTTCCTGACGAAGCGATCCTGACAAAACCCAAAGCCATCAGAATTATGTTCTCTTCCAAATTCCTCTCCGTTGAGCTGCAAATCTCAGTATTAGCAACTGCCACTGCCAGCAGGTCCCGTCCCATCTCTCCAAGGCTACACACAGCCAGGCAGCCCAGTGCCTATGGGGCACACAAAGCAGGGAGCCAGCCTAGGCTAAGGAACTGCTTAAATCCCATTTTCTACCAGTAATTGCCTTTAGAGAGAAAACAAATGGGAAGCAAGAGACTGGCTGCCCAGCAGCTGGGCTTGAGCCAATGCCAATCCCTGGCGAGGCGCACAGGGAGGCAGGAGCACGATGGCAGAGCCAGGAAGGGATGACCTGAGCGCAGACCCAGGTTTGTTGGAATTTCTTCCGCTGGAGCTTTTTCCAAGTCTCTGGAGGGTCAGGCTGGTGTGCTGAAGCCTGGAATGCCCCAGAGCTGTGCAATGTGCACAGCTCACCTCCTGCACCACAGGCCACAGAGGCCACAAAAGACAAGGGGAGAGGCACAACCTTGCTCCGGGGAGGTAACACCCAGCCACCCAGTGTAATCCAGGGCTCCATTCCCCACGCAGCACTACGTCTGCACCTTTTCGGACAGCTGAACAGCAAATATTCTCAGCCAAATTCACTGAAACACTAAAAGAAAATAAGCAGGAGGGAAAAAATAACTCACTTGAAGATATTTCAGTTTCTTCCTGATGTGTTGTGACGGCAACTGGCTTGTCTTTCAGAGAAACATGAACAGTCCCTGCCCCAGGGCTGGGCTGCTGCGTGTGCTCAGTGCAGGCAAGAGGAGAATGCGAGTTTTGTGAGGACACGTCCCCCTCTCCATCCTGCGCACCCATGCTGACGCGCGGGCAGGCGCTTACGCAGCTCCCGGCACCACGGCAGCTTTCAGCGCCGCCCTGGCTCTGCCCACCTCCCGCGTGCAACCCAAGGACAACATCCACTGCTTGCAGGATTTGGATGGTCCATGCTGGGTGTTGGGTCAAAAAGATAGGAAAAGAGGGAAGATGGTCCTGCTCCTTTCCACAGCCTCATTGCCCGGCCCAGGGGACCATAGCAGAGCCCACGACAAGGGCACCCTGCTCCCCAGACCCCTGCATATGCTCACCCAGGATGGGACTGCATTGGGCACCCAAAGAGGAGCTCACAGGGCAGGGTGCTGCGGGGCCCTGGGTGCATGGGGAGAGAGGGCAGCTGTTGTGCACGTGCAAACCTGGCTGCCAAGAGGGGACAAGCCTGACACCCTCTGTGGCACATGTCCCTGGGGAGGTGTTGCAGGGCATCCTGGGAGGTGTGGTGGGGCAGAAGCCCCATAAATCACACTCTTGGCCTCTGACTATCTTGGAGCTATTTGCTCTAAGACACGGCAGGATGGGATGTCAGTGACAGCAAAGCAGCACATGAAAAGTCCTTGTTTGCAGGATCCTAGCTGGGGCTGGGGCTCACAGCCAGGGGATCCTCATTCCAGCTGCAAAATAGGAGCACACTTCTCTGTCCCAAAGCCAAGCACACCCACCCAGGGGGGCCAGGATCCCAGGGAGGCAGCGACCTTAGCGTGGAAATTCCCACAGTATCTAGTGAGGAAGCCAGCCCTGTCACACTGGAAACATTGGCCGGTGTGGTGCTCATCAGCCATGCTCAGCTTCTAAAGCAGGAAGACAGAGCATTGTAAAGCAGATTATACTGATTTGCTTTCGCACAGTGCAGCGAGCAACAGAAACAGGAAACATCACAATGGTCTTCAGTGTACCGGAGATGTCTCAATTGTTATACTCAGCAATACGCCTGTTCCTATTAATGTGCCATTCAGTTATTTAGGAGACCAACAGAAAATCCTTGCCAAAAGGGATGAACATCTTTTTGATTGTTCCACTCGCCTTTGAAGCTGCCCTGCCCAAACCAGGAGGGTGAGCTGCCTGAAAACCAACTGTGCTGGATTCCCAGCGTACGGGGAGGGGGGTGGTTCAGCGCTGCAGAGACACACATTCCCTCTGGAGAGGCTTGTTAAGCTATTCCAGATGTGATCCAGCCAAGTTATTACGGTAACAAGGAAATAAGTGGCAGAAAACCACCCACAAAATCCAACTGCTCTGCCTGAGGTTAGGAGGCACATTCCTGTGCCGAGCTGCAGACAGACCTTTGTGCACAGAGCCGGCACCAGCACTGGGGAAGCTGATTTCTTCAAGGAGGCGAACAAGAGCAGGGTCATTCAACAGCCTTGGAGAGCAGCCGGGGCGGCACGCGCGCGCTCCAGGAGCGGACGCTGACCAACGAGCACTTCAGTGAGGAACAATTCCTTTTGTCCGTTTCTTAGAAATAAGCAGCACTGAGAACAAACTCAAACCCCAGCGAAGCTTCAATGGCTTTTCTAAATGGCTTGCGCTGTGCTGCCCCATCTCCCTCACTGCGTGTCTGCCCTCAGCAAATAGGTCAGTGAACTAATCTGGGAGCAGAAACATCGTTGGAAATGGGAAATAACAACTGACAGGCAGCCTGTGGTATCCAGCACAGCATTGCAGTTCCCCTGCACAGAGGCTCACAACAACGTGGAGAGATGCAGCTTATCCACAGGGCTCAAAGCTTGGCCGGAGAAAGTCATGGGACGTGGCAAAATTCATCCAGAAAATGATCCCTTTGGAGAAGCAGCCCAGATCTGGATTAGTCCCTTTTGGTCAGGGCCACAGGACTGTATAAAGAAATCAGCTCATACAGTTACAGAGTGATTTGGGTTGGAAGGGGCCCCTAGTGGTCTCTAGTCCAAGCCTCTGCACAAAGCACCCAGATCAGGGTGCCCAGGGCCATGCCCAGTTGAGTCCTGAACACCTCCTGGGATGAAGAACCCACAGCCTCTCTGAGCAACTTCATATTTGACCAACCTCACCATAGAAAATATTTCCTTACATCTAACCACGATTTCCCACACGAGGTCCTGGTCCAGCAACACCTACTGCCTGGGCTTGAGGAGGAGCCAGGGCACCAGCCCCGTGCTGACAGAGTCAGGCAACCATACACAAAAAAAGCCCGTACCCAAAATGTGACTGCACCAAAGGAGGAACGAGGTGAGACTGGGCCCGAGGCCAAGAAGTGGCTCTACCATAGCAAATAGGATGTGGTAGAGCAATTTCTTCGTTCCTCTTCTGACCCCGAGTAGCTAAAGGCCATCTTTCGTACAGCTTCGACATTTTAACTTGAAATAACCTATTTCAAGTCATCCTCCTGCCCTAGACGACCTCCCTGAGCCCTCAGCCAGATGTGGAAGCCCAGCTAAGGAGAAGAGAGTAAGGGCATGGTCCACAGCCTGCCTCTAAGGCCAGGGTTTGCCCATTCCTCACCAATGGGGCGTGCGGGGGGGATGCTAGCACAGGGGAAAGCTGTGGGCGGCTGAAGGGAGAAGTAGCACAGTAAAGGTCAGTGGGGCTTAGCCAAACTCCCTTGGAGACAATCTCTGAGCTCTATCGAGGCACCACAGGGGAAACCTCAAGACTTCACTTCTCTTTCTCAGCCTCGGCAAGCCCCCGCTGCAGGCAGTGAAGCACCAGCAAGAGAAACAGCTGGCTGGGGAATGCCAGCCCAAAATCCCTGAGATGCACCCAAAAAGCCCTGAAAGTAGCTACCTGAGTGCCCCTGAGGTGTCCCAGGAGATAGAGCTCCTGGCTTAATTCCGGGATGGGAAGGGTGATGCTGGCCCTGCACCCGAAGGAAGGATGATCTGGCAACACCAGTTAGATGGCACTGTTAGATACTGGAAGCAATGGGATAGTGGGGTGATACCCTGCTGCTGGCCAGAAAACTTCATAGCAGACGGCCCAGAAAATGCCCCAGATGTCTCCAACTACTGCTGCAGACACTCACCCTCCTGGAGCTGGACACTCTGCAGGTAAAGGGGGTTCCGCAGCACGTTACAGCGCCCAGGCTCGTCTTCCTTGGTGAACAGCAGCAGGTCGGAGTAGACAAAGAGGGTCACCTGGAAGAACAAGAGCAGCAAAGAAGAGGCTATAAGGAATTAATCTCTTTGCACTCAGACAGCATCCTGGAAAGGTCCTCTACCCTGCAGTAAGGCACTAGCCATGACAGGCTGCCCAGGCACCCCTTCCCTCAGTGGCTGATTGCTGCTACACCCCTCAGGGTGCTCTCAGCAAACTTCGGAGGAGACTCCCTCCACTTGTCAGCAACCTACCAAGGCTTGGGGAGTCCCGTGACAAGAGGGATAAACCTGCCCGACAGTTTAACGCCACACAAACACACCCTCTGCACTCTCTGTCACTTCCCATTTACATAAGTTATAAATCAGACGAACAGGAGGAGGGAATAAGCTGCCAACTAATCCCAGCACACCATAGAAGTCGCAACCAAAAAGCAAACGTGATCTCCTCAAACACACTCACGAAGGGGCTTCTGGCTGTTCACAGTCTTTTCACGCCCCATTTTGCACCCTGTGAGAAATTAACAGTTCGGCTTTTACAACAGCAGAACCCACGAGAGCAGTTGCAGGGAACAAACTCAACACCTTTAAACCACAGTGAAGTGTGGAAAGCAAACACTGAACCGAGTGTCTGCCCAGCTCTGTGCTTGAGCGGTGACTCAAGTGTTCTAGAAGCTGGGAGCTACTCCAGAGCAAGTGGCATGTGCTCACAACTCAAAAGGTAGACTTTGTTCTGCTTCTGGCTTTTGCCCGAGGTCCTGAGTTCAATCAGTACAGATTAGTGTGATCTTTAGAGTAAAAAGAATGAGCTTCTCCACTGATCCTTGACTCAGAGCCTACTCGGGGTGAGCAGCTCGGTGCAAGCACTATGCCGGTAGCCAAGGTTTGAGCCCGTCCTGCTCTCCAGCAGAAGCTGGGGACATGCAGCAAACCTTCGAAGATGCCAGGAAGCAGCTGCAATATGTCCCAGTGGGCACATCGGATGCCAGACCTGTCTGCATACTGCCAAACCACACACTGCTCTCAGCACAGGACGCAGCATATAAGCATGTGGCTGCTTTTAGCCACTCTTTGGGATGCTCCCAAAAACCTCCCACAGCAAAGGGAAAACTGCTTTGCAACACTGAGCAACAGCAATGAAGGTTTTGTGGCCTTCTAGCAACCCTTCCACAGAAGCCTGGCGTCACAGGGGCTCACTGGCCTTCTAGCAACCCTTCCACAGAAGCAGAAAACAACCTGGTGTCACAGGGGCTCACTGAGAGCTGGCACCGCTGCCACCACCCCATCACCCTTTGGAAGGTGACTTTGCTCTGGACTGTCGCTGTTTACAGGGACACACTGCCAGGACAGCATGTCTCCATGCCCAGCAGCTGACGGACACATGTCAGGAGGAGGACAAGCTGGGTGAGTTTATCACATGGTGGCGAATGTCACGTCAGGGCAACAGCATCTGGCTTTGAAACTAAAATCAAGCTCTTGCCACATGATTTCTCCTTGCTGTGCAAATTCATTTCTGTGGGATTCTTAATAAGCACAAAGCTACTGGCATACCCTTAATTGCCAATGAAACCAGGGAGTGTCTGTTTTGCTCTGTATTATTTGGAAAATCCCTTCCTCCGCTCTCAACACAGTGTTGGCCGAGTGCCCACGTTCGCCCTCTTCTTTACTTCTGACGTTAACACAAGGAATAACAAAGCACAAACTGCACTATAAACTTTCTCCCATGCCCACCTTGTTCCAAAAGGTAACTTTTCCAGGATACGTCTTGTGCTGTCCCAGGTCCCTCAGCCTCAAAGAAGAGATGCTCGGGGATTTGGATAATAGCAACTCAAGGTGAAGGAGATAAAAGCATGATCAACAAGTGGTCATGCTGGAAATGGAGGGAAGAAAATGAAATCCTAACACATACAGAAGTTTACTTTTTTTTTCAGGAAAAAAAAAATCACTTCAAAACCAAGCAGATTTCAATAGGGAATCATGGAAACAGAAATACACGAGAAGTATTTACAGGGAACATTGTGCTTTTATGGGAAGATGGGACTGATTGAATCCAGGATGTAGAGAAGATAAAAGTGCAGGCAGTGTGGGTTTCGTAAGAGCATCTCTGTTAGATGCTGCTTCCAGGAAGAGACTTAATTTTAGAGCAGTTCCACACAAAATGGTTTATTGAGGTCCCTCTGCCCTCCCAGGTTGCTGGGGGAAGAAAACGAGAGTGTCCCTTACACACACACAGCCAGAGCCTGCCAAGAGCAGCCCAGCACTGTGAGGCCCAGGGCTTCCGCAGACCCTGCTCGCAGAGGTGGGAGTGGGATCGGCTCTGTGGGGCAGAGCACTTACCCCACCTGAAGAGCTGAGCACAGGAAACTTGAATCATGGATGACCCTAAGGCAGCAGCCAGCAGGCAGAAGAGGGGAGGGCTGGAGTGAGTAAGTTGGAGCTCTGCTAGCGTTGCCATCACACTGCTGACAAGCTGTAACGTGTCTCTAACAGCCCTCTGCAAACAGTTCTGGTATCTACTATGAAAAAATCACAGGGCTCATAAAAGCAAAAGAGCAAACAAAAAAGAAACACAGCACCTGGATGCATCCAGACAAGACACACAATCCACCAGAGCTGCTCCTTGGAGAGTCGGAGGATCTTTGTGTATTTCCCAGAACTAATTTCCTACCCCAAAATCAGAAATAAAACAACTGGCATGATCCCCTCTGAAGGCAATGATAGGCACTATGCTGTTACTAGAGTGAGCAAGACCCCACGCAGTTGTCACACAGACCTTTTAGGGGCTTGTGAGTAGATTTTACTGTGGGGAAAAGAAATTACCGTAGAGCCTGACACCGCATGAACAGTGTCCGAGGCAGCGGGAGTGCTCTGCACCACAGCAAACAGCAAAGCCTCTCTACTGATGGATTTGACTAACTACAGAATATAACTGGAAAAATATTGTTAGAGAAGGAAAGGGCACGTTTAAAATGTCTCCTAAAAGAAAACATGAGAACATGAAATCCAGGAAGGAAGGTGGAAAGCAGTGGGTTAGTGTGCTTCCCAAGATGAGAATAGATCAACACTGGGACTGCTACAGAGCCCCACAGCAGGAAGGAGGAAGCGATAACCACGCCTTGTAAAGCAAAATATGGTAACAAAAACATCATGAAAAGGTGCACAGAAATTAAACTGTGCAGCCAAAGTACCTTCACATTCAAGCTTAAGAATAGCTAACTCTCCTCCCAACCTCTTGCTCACCTACACTCAGGGCCCGGCCCGCCTGGGCAGTTTGCAGACGCAGCAGCGCACCCGCAGCACATGCAAACCCTGCCTGCCTGTCCCAGTGCTGGCAGGAAAGGCCTGAACCAGTGGGTGTTTTCTGAGACTCATTGCCATGCCCAGCCAAACAGAGGGAGCTGAGGAAGCAGAGTGAGGCAGGGGTAGGTCTTCCATGGTAGAGCTTTCAGACACCAAAGAGATGATCGCTGGCCAGAGAATGCTGCCTGCAGTTGGCTAGAGAAACCTTACCATCCTTGGTGGGGAGCTCATAAGACAGGTGTCCACCCCTAGGACTGATCCACACACATTTTCTATTTACCAGGACTGGATTCTTCCCCAGAAGAACTGGCTGCAACCCCAAAGAGGAACTCCAGTGATACCACTTCGAGGGTTGTATCTGCAAAGCTTGTGTCCCCTGTCATTCGGTTGAGCTACATGGATGAAACTTTCTTAATCTTCCTCATTTTTTTCAGTTCTTGATTTATCCTTGTAGCCCTCTTGTGAGACCATCCAGATTGTCAGTATCCTCTAGGAAGCAGACATCACTGTTGGACTCATCAGACCAGGAATGACACAGCTCCCCACATACAGGGAGATATCACCCGGTCACTTCTATCCAGTGTTCCCCTGATCATAGGCTTCCAAGTCACAGCTTTTTGTCTACAGCTCTGCACTAGCAGTTACTCAGTTTTCTCAGAGACCAGAGCCATAGGGGAACATCATTAAAAGTAACCCAGTTCCCACAGCTTCGTACGTCAGCATCTCAGCCAGATGAGCCCTGGTCTGAAAAGAGAAGCAGTCCAGGCTTTGCAGGTGGGGTAGGTGCACATACCCAGGCACGGCACTTCAGAGACGGGCATGAACTCCCCAGGGAAACTTTACCACCCTTCAGTGATACACCAAAGCCTTTGAGTCATTGTCTTCAGTGCTACTGTCATGCTAACTCTCTAAGCATGGCCTGCACCCTTGCACCTGAATTTTAACTTCTGCATGTATCCAGACTAAATGCACGTTCTCCAAGACTTCCCAGCAGTCTTTTAGCCCACAGTGCATTTACCCTCTTCTACTGCCTCACATTTTTTCTGCCAGGATTACTGACAGGGGATTTATACACTCAGGAAGGAGTTTATCCACTCAGCTAGACTTTGATGAACATACACCACCACACTTGCCAAAAGGAGACCCATGGTGAAGCTTTAGCTGTCAACCGTGAACCTTGGCATACCTAAATCAAATATTCTACCATGAACATCAGGGGAGAACAAGCACTGAAGGTCTCAAGGGATCATGCAGCTACCCTCAAACACTAGCATAAGCAGCGGGCTGTGCAGATGGGGAAATGGTGTAAAAAATGAGGAAGAGAAGTATATGGAGGCAGTGAAGAAGAAGAGACGGAGTAGGCAGGACTAGTGTGGTAGAGGGAGGAGGTAAGTGCACGTTTCTGGTATTCTCACCCAAATAAATTGCCTTAAAAAGGGCTGAAAACAAGATCTTGAAACATCTGTGCCAGGGAGTAGGATTTTGGTCCACTCACTGTGTTGACCAAACTCAGCCACACACTGAAACAGGGAGTTGGCGACCCCATCCCAGGCCAGGAACTTGCAGTCCAACTCTTGGGATGAGGGAGAGAAGCCTCCTGCCTGCAGTGAAAGGGCACAAAACCTGGGTATGCTGGTCCATGTCCTCCAGAATGTGGCAGAGCTGGGGGCTTTCAGAGTTCAAGGGAGGACCATCCCGACCTGCAGACCCTGCTGGGATGGCAGAAAAGAGCTGAGAAGGGGGTGAGCATGGCCCACGCTGTGCAGGTACCTCAGGGATTTGGAAAGTTGCCTCCAGGTACATTAGAGACAGACTACCAGTACAAATCCCACGTTCAACACCTTGTGCGCAGTCGCCTGCATCACGCTGGTTCCTCTGGCACTCCGCAGGCTGGAGGGATTTCAGAAGACCATAAAAGCGGGAATTGTAACAAAGTCTAGACAGGATGTGATTAAGGCCTGAATAAGGATTGCCCCAGAGGTAAGGTCAGGGAAAGGACAGATCCTGGCAACCCTCCAGAGAGATGGGTTGACTCCTCCAGGAGATGGGAGAGTTTGCGATGTAACAAGGACACAGCGCCTGACATGGAAACTGCCAAGGGGAAGAGATTCTGTCTTTTTAAAAAAGAATGAGGCAGGACCTCCCCCTCCAGCCCCCGCACCTGGGCTCTGCCCTCTCAAGCCACTTAGCCAAAGCAGAATAACTTGCAGAAAACAGTCCTGCAAACCACAGGAGCAGTAGTCCAGTCTGAGAGAGCCTGGGTGGGAGGAGCGGTGGGAAAATGGAAAACCACACGGAGCAAGGAAGAAAGGACTGATCGGAAATCAGACAGCCTCTGTGTGGGCAGTAGAGATGGCTGGAGAGGGAGTGAGCTCAAGGCCAGCAAAAAGAGAAGTCAGAGCCCTTCTGTACCAGGGGAAACTCCATTGTGTCCAGGCCATTTTAGGTCTTGCTGGCTTCAGAAGTTCAGGTTCCCTCATCTCACAGCCCATCAGGACCAAAGCAGACACCCTTGCTCAGTGGGAGAAGGGGAGTCTGGCTTTCCAGAGACCTGCACTGATTCCCTGAAGCTGCAAAGCCTGCTGTGACCCTGTGACACACTGCAGACATGAGAAAGCCCTTCCCCAGAGACATGGCTGATGTTCCAGTGTTGCTACCTACAACTGTCAGCTCCCAGAAATACAGGGCTCAGCACCACACCTGGGTTCACACCAAGGGAAAGCCTCCTGCCTGCCAAAGCAGATGCTGCCACATGCTTGTTCCCATTCACTGCTGCTATTTTTTCACTACTCTTAGTCACAACCTCTCGCCTTGCTCCTCTGCCAGGCTTACACAGACATCACAGCCTCAAGGCACCATCATTCTCAAATGCTGTCTCACATTCCTGGCCAGTCTACAGCATCCTGCCGTTTCCTGGCAGCAGCTGCAATTGGTAAATCCTCTTCCAGCCTCATGCTCATCCTCAGCAAACAGAGCCCTTTCCCTCAGACATCCTCCTTCTGATCCCAGGCTCCTGAAATAGCTAACGTGGCCATTTGGAGACAGAGAAGCACACCTCCTTCCAATATGCTTGTCCTCAGGCTCTCCATCATCTAAATCTGAACACCCCCATACACACATGAGTTATTCATAATCATTTCACATTTGGCTGCTACTAGAGACTTCCGAGTCTGACCTGAAAGCAAGCAAATCCAAACCAGCCCAGAGAAGCATTTTGACTTCAGGCTGGCCACCACGTCTCATCACAGCAGAGCTGTGCTACACAGCCATGTCTTTACCTGACCTTCAGTCATGCAGGTGCCCAGAAGACCCTGAGCAGCAAAGAAGAGCAGGATGGACAGGGGAAGAGTTTTATTTACAAATAAATGATAAGTTTCCTAATGGATCATGCAAATTTTCATGCTCTCTGGCAGAAAGAAAAAAACCAAACAGTAGTGATTTAAGTCAAAGCAAGGGATGAATTCCATGTTGAAAACCAGAGAGAGATGGGAGTCACGTAACTTAATCTTGTACTGTTTTGTACAGGCCCGCGATACAACACGTCTCTGGTATTCTGCTGTCGGCCACCCAGACAGTGTTACCCAGAAACTAAGATTAGTTAAGTACAAATTTCTCTATGGCTCTGTGACGATGACACATTGTTCACTCCAACTAAATTCAAAACAATTATTCTGTACAGTGGTGAGATTCTCTGAAAACACCCCAAAAGAAATGGTCATTTCCTTCAGCACCAGTGAGCAATGCACGGGTGGGCTCCCTTGGCTGCTGCTTCCTCTGTCCCAAATTCCAGGGCTTTGCAGACTTCATAGTTGGATGCAGGTGAAGCCAGCAGAAAATGTAATCAACACTTCCAAACTGTGCCAGTTTGGATGCTGAAAGTTGTCACAGACACAGGTTTGGCATGTAGCCAAAGCTTAGTTGTTTCCCCAGATTTTTAACAGCCCTCCAATAATGTTGCAGAAGAGAAGGTGAAGTAAGAAAAAAGAAAGGAATATGGATGTGACTTATTTCAGGAACCGAATTTCTGAAAGCCCCTGTAACAAGTTCTCTGTCTAGTTCTCTAACCTGGCACAAAATATTCTTAAACTCCCCCTTTCCTAGTCTGCCAGTGACCTCGACTGCGGGGCTGTAACTCACATGCGTTCGCCAGGCACAGTTCCTTCTTTGTGAGCATGAAGGACGACAATAAAAAAGCTGATTTCTAGCAGAGAAGAGTTTTGATATTTAATTTATCCCATGATAAACTGACTACAAGTTTTTCCAGATACCATATATATTAATAAAAGTACTGCACAATAAAACATTTCCCTTCCCAATCTGCTATACAAGACTGCAAAGAGCATGTTTAGAAAGCTCAGAGAGCACGGAAAGAATCTTACCTGTATAGTCCTGCTTCTGCTCTCATGAAGCAGCAGCTCCTCTGACAAAAGCAGAGTCCGGGCTGGGTTGCAAAGATCTAGGGGCTGTGCCTCACAGGGGGAAAAAAAAAAAAAAGAAGAAAGAAAGAAACAGTCAAACCTTCCACTCACTGCAAGTGTGGTTTGCCAGAAAAACTTTCCGCCCACCAAACACACTTTGTCTTCACTTTAAACTTGTAACTCATTCAGGGACAAGCCACCCCCCACTACACTCAAACGGACAGAAAGTCTGCAGTCCAGCTCAGGATAAGAAGAAAGCCTTACACTTAACACCTACGCCAGCCCCTTCTATAAAAAGACAATCAGTCACTTGCCTCTGTGCACGTTAACTGTCGTGCACCGTGCGCTTTTAGCAGGAAACGCAACCACAGTGGTGGCACGTCAGGTTCTCACATCCCTCAGACGAGTATTTGCTACGTGATTTTACGGATTACTCTCGCAGTAAGTCAGAGGCACTTTGGGAATGCCGCCCTTTCCTCTGGCACATGGCACATCCAGCACCTTCGTGGGTTCGAGCCCAAGGGAAATGGCCAGTCTAGGCTGAGATAACAGTGTCATTTCTGCTAGCAGGGGAGGACCATGGCTCCCCACAGCCTCCCAGATGAAGGTATTCACCAGTAATGTACTTAAATACACAGGATCAGATCTGGGGTTCTTTCGTACAAAGGACAAAATGGAAGACACAGAGGTAGAGCTACTACCACCAAATTCAGGGCTAAACCTTAAGAAAATAATTTATGGAACTGGGGAGTGAGAACATCCTCTGCCAAGCCACTACTGCTCTGGATCCTTATCGATGATTTTAGTGCTAGCCATCAGCTAAACTAAAGCACCTTTGTTTGCACACTATAATTCACAGCACGAAACCCATGGGAAGAAACCATACTGATCTTCAGTTACGCAGAGCGGGTTGCTGAAGCCCAGAAGCTGGGATACCTTCGCCTGACTCAAGCAAGCACCCAAGGACTGGATTTGAAAGCTGAAAAGGGAAAAAACTCCAAGAGAGAATTGCTTGGGCAGGACACAATTCCCTTTGCGAAAGTACCCAGCACTGTGCTGGGTACAGCCAGCTCCAGAGGAAAGAGCTGAGGATCCACACATTCATGGCATATACGGCTTGGAAATATATCCCCCTTGCACAACAGCCTGGACCCAACCTCCAGCAGCAAGCGCTGCCACAGCCCGCTGTGCTGGGCACTGGGCACCTTGCTGCCAGCTGCGCTCACCTGCACAAAGATGGGGAACACCAGCACTTTGGGAGCCAGCGTCACATACGTGCCATAGCTGGAGTGCGGGATGTGCGGCCTCACTATGGTACAGTTCTGATAGTTCCCGTAGCTCTTCATCGTCTGCACAGTCTTCATCAGCCTGGATTTTCTCCCAGACCCCAGGTGTGATTTCCCTTTACATGCATTTCCTGGACCGAGGGAGGAAGCAGAAAGCAACACAGGATCAGAAGAGAGGTCTGGCAGAGCTGCTGCACGCTGCCGGCTCAGCTCCTCTCTCACAGGAGGGCACATCAGGCCCAAGGGGGATAGCTGGAGCCGAAGGCTGCAGGGACATTCGTCACTCTGCTATCAAAGTTTCCCAGGGATTCATGAAATAACAGCCCTGACTTCATTTTTCCTAATGCAAAATGAGATGTCCCTTGATATTTCTGCTCAGCTGCTCACTCGCTGAACTGAGGACTTCACTGGATCACAGCAGCAGCACAAACACATCTGCATACATACAGAACCAAAGAAGTCACAGCAGGCTCAGCGGCAGGCCAGCACATCCACCTCTTCGGGGTACGCTGCCTTCTGCACAGTTCATGAATATGGTACTTTGGAGGAAGAGATGTGCTACTGTTATAAACACCTCCCTATTCAGAACTGAAAGAATGAAATAAGAAATACAGAACCACCACAAATATGACTTTAAATGGTCCTTCTTGAATCACACAAGCACCAAGGAGGTTCTTCCCACCGGGGAATACCTGCTGGCACCACTGTACTATGACCCTTCCCTTTCCAGGGAGGGGAAAACCATTGTGACTAACTCAGGGAGTGTGTGGGGAAACACTGGAAATTTAAGCCTTGGGACATTTTTATCCACACAAGTCCTGGCTGCTCTGGATTCTGGGCATGGGAGTTGGCAAAGTGCAGGAATTTCACACCATGAGGCAGTGGGTAGTGGGTTTAATCAGAGTTTTTAGAAGATACTAAGATCAGAGATATCAGAGAAAAGGACAGAAGTGATAAACACATTCATGCACATGGGATCAATCCATGTATTTCCAAATCGCTCCCAGGGATGTGATGGTTACTCAGACATGGGGGTGTGTTTACAGAGGATGACCTCACTTTGCATGAGGCTGGCACAACATCATCCACTGGTTTTCAACATTAGATTTCAGTGCTGGAAAAAATCCGAGCAGCCTGACTGGTTTTCACTCTGTCCCTTTTCATCACAGAAACCCTTACCCTCAGACGCTTCCTTGCAGCCTCCCACCTCAGCTGGTCGTGCAGAGCTATGCCTTTTCCCAAGAAGCCAACACCAGCTCCTGCAGCCACTCTGCAGTCTGCATCGCGAGGCCAGGAGACATTAGGTGATATGTCACATCAGGCCCAGAATCTCTAATGTAACTGATAATCCTTTGATTTAAAAGCATTACTGATAATTATCAACAGTTATCATTGTTCCCTGCTTGCTGCTGCATGGGCGAGTCCTTCCTTTGCTAGTGCCGGGCAACTGCTGCTACACAGGATTTCTCAGCGCTTTCCTCCTAGCCCAGAGTATGCCTTTGAATACATCCAGCAAGCTCCCACCCGCACTCTGCCTCGTGAGCGCAGGCACGGGACATGGGGTGCCGTGGGGATGCTCTGTCTGGATACCATTTTCTCAGCACCAGCGCCCTGAGGCTGCTGGGAGACGGTGCTGTACGCAGCACTGGCTGTGAGCAGCAGCACGGTTTGGTGGGTGATCCGTTGGAGGCAGCAGTGCTAAGGACAGCTTTACGCACCCTCTTCCCCAGACCCATCTCATGGAGCTGGGATGAGTCCAACGCATGGAACCAGAACCAGAAAGGAGCTGACGAGCTGCAGCCCACTGGGCTGCTCTCCGGAGTGCTGGGAGAGCATGGCTGCTGAGCATGGAGCCGCTGGGAAATATTTCCCCTGAATGACATTAATCCATTAGGTCCAAGGGCCTGGGTGTTCTCTGGTGAGCCCAGCATACAGTTTTCGCCATCTCTGATGTTCCCAAGCCCACAGTGCACATCTCTCCTGCCATATGTAAACTCCCATCACAGCAGCAGCAGGACCTGTCACACTGGGGACAGAAGGTGGGACAGGTTCATGTTCCCAAGCGCCCTTAACCCCAGACCATGTCCCACTGGGCACCAGCGACCTAAAACCCACAGGCAACAACTTCAACAGGAACTGCGTATGTCTCCAACCAAAAATTCATGCCTCCTTCAAAAGAAGCCCCACTGAAAAAACAAAGTATTTCCTCCCTCCCTCCTGAAGCTGATGAACCAAACCAGCTCAGGTCCAGCAGGCAAACCTCTCCACTTGGATTTTCAGGTGAGAAGCCAGAGGACTGGCCCAGGGCACCCTCTCCATAGGGATGGCTCAGGAAAGTGTGCAAGCAAACCCTCCTGCAGCCCCCTGCTAGCAGGGTGTCCCAGCAGAGACCTCCCCCAGCATCCTCCCTCCAGCCACCCAGCCCCAGGCGCTTCTGCTCCCAACACAGCAGCTTTCAGTACAGTGAGTTCTGCCTTTGCACGGTAACGGATACCCATAACCTTCCCAAGCAGAAATGGGCCAAAACAATGCTGAACATGGCTCGGAACAGATAAGGTCTGGTCCAAAGCAAATATATGCACCTGCCCAACATTCCATGTTCCATGAAGTATTAGGAAGTGGCGTATTTACTTTCAGATCCATGCCAGCAGAGCCAGACTGTGCACTTGGCAATCCTGCCCTGCTGTTTACAGCTCGCTTTAACAGCCTGCCTTTGCAGGGGAGCGCCCCTTGTGACCTAAAAGGTTGTTTTCACCTCTAAGTGCAATAATCCTGCCATTTTCTCTTTTCCTTTTTTCATGGTTGCACTGCCAGATAAAATCAAAGCACGAGAGACAGCTCAGCGCAAGGCAGATACAAACTGTTTGGCTTGTTCAGAATCTGCTCTCTTATCCCTAAATCACCTCATTTTATCAGAGGAATTCATCACCTGCCCAAGTCCTGCCTTCAGGACGCTGGCAAAGAAACGTATCCAGCCTGCCCGAAGCGTGCGCTCCAGTCACTGTGTGACCGGTGCCCGGCTCCGAACTGCCGCATTTCATTACTGCGCAGGTTAACGAATGCGTTCTTCCCTCTGGAGACTTAACATTAAATAAACTGAAAACAATCACCAAAAATTGCTATGGGAAGAAACCAGACTCTTTCAAATTCCGCCCTGCTGTAAGAGCAAGTCCCCACAGCCCAGCTCAACTCTTCACAGGATCCACAAACTGCAGGAGAGAGTTGCCATTATCCACAGCACAAAACATACCCTGCAGTTGAGCTGCGGAAAATTCGTAAGGCTGCCGAACTCCAGGCTGGGAGCATCCACAGCACAGGGGCCTCAGACCCACACGGCTCCCTCCAGCTCCCCAGCATCCCCACCACAGCTTTGCCAGCCCCACACCTTGCCTCCTATGGACACCTGTACAGGCAGCACAGCTTCCTAGCTGGACACTGTGCCGATAGCTGTGCCCGCTGCAGGGAGGGACTGCTGAGTTAAAGACACTCCTGCATGATCACGTGTTTGGGCAATCCCAAGCTCAAGTACAGG